TATGAACCCACCAGGACTTTGAGATCTTCCGGGGAGACCCTGCTCTCGATCCCGCCTGCTTCTCAAGCTCGGCTGGCGGGGGACGAGAGATAGGGCCTTCTCGGTGGTGGCTCCTCGGCTGTGGAACGCCCTTCCTACGGACATTAGACTAGCACCATCTCTAATGGTATTCCTCAAAAAGGTGAAGACCTGGATGTTTGTGCAGGCGTTTGAGTAATTTAGTGCAATCTGGTAATGGAACATAGGAATGGAACAATGGACGACGAACCTGGACTACGCTTGGATGATGAGAAGATTGGGTACGTTTGTTTTTTGTAATAATTGTGCATTGTAATTGCTTATTGGTAATTTATGGATAATGTGTTAAGTCAATTGTTATATGTTGTATGGAACCACTGCTGTTTCTACTGTTTCTACTGTTTGTGAACCGCTGTGAGTCGCCTTCGGGCTTGAGATACAGCGGTATAGAAGCAAAGTAAATAATAAATAAATAAATAAATTTGTAATCTTATATGCAGGATGTATTTTCAGTCACTGGAACAAATTTGACACAAATACCCAATACGCCCAAATTTGAATACTGGTGAGGTTGGGGGTGATTGCTTTCGTCATTTGGTAATGCTGGAGTTGCTGGGATTTATAGTTCAACTAAAATCAAAGAGCCTTCTGAACTCCACCAATGATGGAATTGAATCAAACTTGGCACACAGAATTCCCATGACCAAGAGAAAATACTGGGAAGCTCTGGTGGACATTGACCTTGAGTTTTTTGGAGTTGTAGTTCACGGGAGAGTCTGGTAGACATTGACCTTGAGTTTTTGGAGTTGTAGTTCACCTACATCCAGAGAACACTATGGACTCAAGCAATGATGGATCTGGATCAAACCTGGCACAAATACTCAATATGCCCAAATGTGAACACTGGTAGAAATTGGAGAAAATAGACCTTGCCATTTGGGAGTTGTAGTTGTTGGGATTTATAGTTCACCCACAATGAAATAGCATTCTGAACCCCACTGATAGAATTGGACCAAACTTTCCACACAGAACCCCCATGACCAACAGAAAATACTATGTTTTCTGATGGTCTTTGGTGACCCCTCTGACACCCCCTCGCGATCCCTATGGGGGTCCCGACCCCCAGGTTGAGAAACACTGGGCTAGACCTTTTCACCTGGAATGATAACACCCCTGCATCCAGTTCTGGGCAAAACAACCCAAGGAGGAGATGGACACGACGGATAGAAGGGGCATCAAAGGGGCCAAAGATCTGTACACTGGGATTGTTTCACTTAGAGAAGGTTGACTTATGAGTCATATTCATAAATCTAAAAGGAAGTCACATTGAGGAAGAATGCGCAGGTATATTTTTCTGCTGCTCTGAATATCTAAGATGCAATGCGGCCATGGATTCACATTTCTGGAAAAGTCATTCCAACTAAACATTAGGAAGATCTAACTGATACTGGAATATGCTGCCTGGTTAAACCATGGAATCTCTTTCCCTGGAGGTTTTTGAGGCATAAGGCTAGATGGCCATCTGTCAGGAGGGATTGGATTAGGTTGGGCTGAATGGCCTTTGGGGGCTCCTTCCAACCTCAGGCTTCTTTCATCTATCTATCTGTCTGTCTGTCTATTTACATATCTATCTATCTATCTATCTATCTATCTATCTATCTATCTATCTATCAATCAATCTATCTATCTATCTATCTATCTATCTATCTACATATCTATTTGTCTATCTATCTATCTATGTACATATCTATCTATCTATCATCTATCTATCTATCTACATATCTATCTATCTATCTATCTATCTATCTATCTATCTATCTATCTATCCTAGCCATCCCCTGCCATGTGGCCCAGTCTGTGTATATGTGAAAACTGTCCTATTAGTATTATTATGAATAACCAAGGGATATCATTTCTAGTAAAGGTAAAGGTTTCCCCTAACATTAAGTCAAGTCATGTCTGACTCTGGGGTGGTGCTCATCTCCATTTCTAAGCCAAAGAGCCAGCGTTGTCTGTAGACACCTCCAAGGTCATATGGCCGGCATGACTGCATGGAGCGCTGTTACCTTCCCCCGGAGCGGTACCTATTGATCTACTCACATTTGCATGTTTTCGAACTGCTAGGTTGGCAGAAGCTAGGGCTGACAGCGGAAGCTCACGCCGCTCCCCGGAATCGAACCTGTGAGCTTTCGATCAACAAGCTTAGCAGCTCAGTGCTTTAACCCACTGCGCCACCGGGGGGTCCCTTTTACTAGGGTACTTTATAAATTTTTCAATCCATCCATCCATCTATAAATCTATCTATCTATCTATCTATCTATCTATCTATCTATCTATCTACATATCTATTTATCTGTCTATCTACACACATGTCTATCTATCCACACACATATCTATCTATCTATCAATCTATTTATCTATCAATCAATCAACATATCTGTCTGTTTGTCTGTCTATCCATCCATCCATCCATCCATCTACATATCTATCAATCTAATTATCTATTTATTTATTTATCTATCAATCTATCTATTTACATACCTATTTTCTATCAATCCATCCATCTATAAATCCATCTATCTATCTATCTATCTATCTATCTATCTATCTACATATCTATTTGTCTGTCTATCTATCTATCCATCCATCCATCTATCTACATATCTATCAATCTATCCGTCTATCTACATATCTATCAATCTAATTATCTATCTATCTATCTATCTATCTATCTATCTATCAATCTATCTACATACCTATTTTTCAATCCATCCATCCATCTATAAATCTATCTATCTATCTATCTATCTATCTATCTATCTATCTATCTATCTATCTATCTACACACATGTCTATCTATCCACACACATATCTATCTATCTATCAATCTATTTATCTATCAATCAATCAACATATCTGTCTGTTTGTCTGTCTATCCATCCATCCATCCATCTACATATCTATCAATCTAATTATCTATTTATTTATCTATCAATCTATCTATTTACATACCTATTTTCTATCAATCCATCCATCTATAAATCCATCTATCTATCTATCTATCTATCTATCTATCTATCTATCTATCTATCTACATATCTATCAATCAACATATCTATCTGTCTGTCTATTTACATATCTATCTATCTCTATCTATCTATCTATCTATCTATCTATCTATCTATCTATCTACATATCCATTCATCTATCCATCCTATATACATATTTGGGTCTCCTTGCGGAGAGAAAAAACAAGGTATAAATAAACATAACAACAACAACAACAATAATGTGGTGTCAAATTGCATTCATTCTGCAGTGTAGATAGACCCTTGAGGACCGAATGGCCCCATGGAGATGCCTGAAGGCATCTTTGTGTGCCTTACTCTCAGCAGTGGTGAGCCGGCCATCAAGAGCAGCTTTTTGGGAGACGGAGCAGGCCTGGCTGAGCCTCATTTGCACCAAAGCCGGGCTCAGGCGGGCCAATTCGGAGCGGGAGACCCCTGCGTTGGCATCAATCCCATAGATATCCAGCAGATCATCCGGGCTGAGGCAGACCTGGAATGGAGCACATCCACGTGAGAAATGCAATAAGACCCCATAACGATTACAGAGCCATATACCGTAATCACGCTGGAGGGGCTCAAAAAGGCCACAAGTTTTCTGTATTTTGTAATTTCTTAGATTTTGCAAATACTTGCATCATGGAGATGGAACCCAAGTCTGCACGCAAAACTTATACACAATACTTTTAAGTGATTCTGGGCATGAAACAAAGAGTGCGAGCGCACCAAACCATCCGAAAGCAAAAGTGTCACACTCTTGGCCAATTCTGAATTTTGGAGTGCTTTGTAGTGTCAAATATGGGATACTTCACCTTTACTATTTGCATGGCTTCTGTCTGAAAATATTCTTGTTGCCTGCTAAAAGAACCATGGGAGTTGTAGTTTTGCAAGGTCTTTAGCCTTCTCTGGCAATGAGTGCGTGTTCAAACTACAACTCCCTGGATTCCATAGCATTGAGTCAATGCAGTTAAAAGGGAATCAGGCTGTAGAGGCATCCTGACTTCTTTTGCAGCAGCTGCTGTGAGTGACAGAGATCTGTTCTCCTGCCAATTGAGACACAGCCATTTGATGTTTGCAGCGACTGCTTCCTGCGATCTCTAGTTTGAGGAGGAAGGGTCTCCAGTAGCTTTTGCAGAGGGAACGTCCTTCTGCTGCATCCCGATCAATGGGAGAACAGATCCCTATTGCTTGCAGCAGCTGCTGCTGCTTAGTGAAGTGTTACTGGGGGACTATTGCAGTCCACAGAGATTCCCACAAACAAGGGTCTTCAAACACTTTAAGCCTAGGGACGGATCATGTTCCTGCCAACTGTTGGGGGTCCAGATAATAATAATAATAATAATGTCGAAGGCTTTCATGGCTGGAAACTGGTTTGCTGTAGGTTTTTTCGGGCTATATGGCCATGTTTTAGAGGCATTCTCTCCTGACGTTTTGCCTGCATCTATGGCAAGCATCCTCAGAGGTAGTGAGGTCTGTTGAAACAAGGAAAAAGGGTTTGTATATCTGTGGAATGACCAGGGTGGGACAAAGGACTCTTGTCTGCTGGAGCTAGGTGTGTTTGGCGCTGCGTTTGGTGATCCCTATGTAGACTTGTCCACAGCTACAGATCCACCAAGAAAATCCAACAAATGCTCCGTTCAGCAAAGGACAAGAGGGATCCTCTCACTTCCGCAGGAGTCTACCGTGTACCATGTTCTGATGGTAGCACGAACTAACATTACATTTTTATTTATATAGATTTTCCTACTTCCAACAGACCTCACAACCTCTGAGGATGCTTGCCATAGATGCAGGCGAAACGTCAGGAGAGAATGCCTCTAGAACATGGCCATATAGCCCGAAAAAACCTACAACAAACCAATAATAGTGTTGTAACCTGCCTTGAGCTGCAAGGAGAAGTGGTATGATGATGATTATTATTATTTGAAGCACAACAAGATGAGTCCACAGCAGACACACTGCTGGCTGTTGTATTGGATCATACATCGGACATTTCCCAAGTGTCTAGGACTGTGTGATGTATCGGCGAATAATGCGTGTAGATCCCAGTAAGGTGGCCTTTTGCAGCTGGAAGATGGTAATTTTGTCAGCGCTGATTGTGTTTAAGTGCAGGCCAAGGTCTCTAGGCGCTGCACCCAGTGTGCCGATCACCACTGGGACCACCTTGACTGGCTTGTGCCAGAGTCTTTGCAGTTTGATTTTTAAATCCTCATATCGTGTCAGCTTTTCCAGTTGTTTCTCTGCCATCCTGCTGTCACCATTATTATTATTATTATTATTATTATTATTATTATTATTATTATTATTATAGATCTTACCCAACTCTCCTTGTATATTGAGGCAGGTTACAACACAATTTTAAAAACACAAACATTTCAATATCATCAGATAAGAGAAAGTTATAATTTAGATCAAAAAAATGGTTTTGAAACAGAAACATCTTTTTGGGACAGAATCATAAATTCGGAGGGAAAGCACATACGGAAAATATACCAAGTGTTACTGAGGTGGGAAACAGAAAAAGAACAAGTTAAAGAAAACATGGTGAAGTGGGCTAAGGACCTAGGCCGTCCAATTAACTTTAAGGAATGGGAGAGGATTTGGTCAGAGAAATTAAAATGTACATATTCTAATGACTATAAGGAGAATACATGGAGCGAGAGTTGCCAGATGTTCAAGCTGGGTTTAGAAAAGGCAGAGGAACCAGAGACCAGATTGCCAATATCCGCTGGAGAATGGAGAAAGGCAGGGAGTTTCAGAAAAACATCTACTTCTGCTTCATTGACTACTTCTAAAGCCTTTGACTGTGTGGATCATAATAAATTGTGGCAAGTTCTTGGTGGGATGGGCATCCCAAGCCCCCTTCCCTCTCTCCTGAGGAATCTGTACAAGGACCACGGAGCAACAGTCAGAACTGACCACGGAACAACAGACTGGTTCAAGATTGGGAAAGGCGTACGGCAAGGCTGCATCCTCTCACCCAACCTTTTTAACTTGTATGCAGAACACATCATGCGATGTGCGGGGCTGGATGAATGCAACGCTGGGGTGAAAATTGCTGGAAGAAACATTAACAACCTCAGATATGCAGATGACACCACTCTGATGGCCGAAAGCGAGGAGGAGCTGAGGAGCCTTCTAATCAAGGTGAAAGAAGAAAGCGCAAAAGCTGGGTTGCAGCTAAACATAAAAAAACCAAGATTATGGCAACAAAAATGATTGACAACTGGGAAATAGAGGGAGAAATGGAGGCCGTGACAGACTTTGTATTTCTAGGTGCAAAGATTACTGCAGATGCAGACTGTAGCCAGGAAATCAGAAGACGCTTACTTCTTGGGAGGAGAGCAATGTCCAATCTCGATAAAATAGTGAAGAGTAGAGACATCACACTGGCAACAAAGATCCGCCTAGTCAAAGCCATGGTATTCTCTGTAGTCACCTACGGATGTGAGAGCTGGACCTTAGGGAAGGCTGAGCGAAGGAAGATCGATGCTTTTGAGCTGTGGTGTTGGAGGAAAGTGCTGAGAGTGCCTTGGACTGCGAGAAGATCCAACCAGTCCATCCTCCAGGAAATAAAGCCCGACTGCTCACTGGAGGGAAAGATGCTAGAGACAAAGTTGAAGTACTTTGGCCACATCATGAGGAGACAGGAAAGCCTAGAGAAGACAATGATGCTGGGGAAAGTGGAAGGCAAAAGGAAGAGGGGCCGACCAAGGGCAAGATGGATGGATGGCATCCTTGAAGTGACTGGACTGACCTTGAGGGAGCTGGGGGTGGTGACGGCCGACAGGGAGCTCTGGCGTGGGCTGGTCCATGAGGTCACGAAGAGTCGGAGACGACTGAATGAATGAACAACAACAACACAGCGGCCAGAATCCAACTGGCCAGACTCTGGAAATCCAGAGAAGTTCCTACAACAGAACAATGGTCGTTAAAAGCTTATGATGTGATGAACATGGACCTACTAACTCAGAGACTAAGAGCCCATGGAAGCAAAAAAAAGAGCACAGATTGGAGTAACTTTATGGAGTACATTGATGAGAAGAAATAAGAATACTCGAAGATGTAATGAGACTGAAACTTGTATAGAATGAGAGCTGATGTTTTATCAGTCAATATTTTTTGTACATAAGAATTGATTACTTGTCTGTTCAACCTGGAAGTCATTGTATTTTATACTCTCCTCCCCATTTACCCTCTCCCCCTTTCCCTCACGGCCAACCCTACTCATACCCACTACCCATCACCTGACTCCTTCCTACCCGACCAGCCCTACCATACCTTTCCCCCCCCCTCACTTTGCCCCCCACCATCTGATGTTTTAAATGTGTATTGAAAAATTTTGCAATAAAGATATTTATATTAAAAAAATTGCAAAAATTCAACAAATATACATATTTCTATCAAAGATCCACATAAACGACTATAGTTTGAAAAAAGCACAAACAAATTCCTATGTACACTGCACATATCTTATTTGTAGTGCAAAAAAACACACATGGTCCTGCTTCTGGCCAATGAGAGAGTCACGTTGATAAGGCTTGTTGTGGTTGTGTGCCTTCAAAGTCATTACAGACTGATACCCTAACTCTAAAGGGTCTCTAAAGGACCTTGGAGGATCTTGGGGATCCCAGCCCTACAGTATTGCCATGTTTATGGATATGTAGTGATAATGTACACAAATCAGGAACAGATTCATTACTGTGATCATAAATGCCAACTAATGTTGCTCACCGTGTCCCAGACTTGACTGTCTCCAGCGGAAGGTAGACTTCTCCTCCGACGGACAATAGGACTTTCTGTTTTGTTTACATGGTGGTCTGCTTCTTCATCATGGGCGTGGTGATGATCCGTTTCATTGCCATGATGGTGGTCCATTTCATGGCTGTGGTGGTGCTCTGTTTCATTGCCATGATGGTGGTCCATTTCATCTCCATGGTGGTGCTCCGTTTCATTGCCATGATGGTGGTCTCCATGATCTCCATGAGCATGACCTTCTGAATGATCATGAACATCTCCTTCGTGTGTGTGGTTATGGTGGTCACCATGATTGTGGCCTTCATGGTCGTGGTCACCATGGTTATGGCCATCATGATCGTGGTCACCGTGATTGTGGCCATCATGTCCATGGTCATCATGGCTGTGGCCATCATGGCTGTGTCCATCATGATCATGGTCATCATGGCTGTGTCCATCATGGTCATGGCGTCCATGCGCAGCTACCGAGCCGACCTGCAGCTCCTTCATGAGTTCCGTCAGACCTGTGGCAAACCAAAACCGGGCACCATTCTCAGTCCATGTTCTCTAGAACTTGGTCAATACCCTCTCCAAACCCATATCTTTTGGTACTTACCTGCCAGCGTGAGGTTGTGCGTCCCATTGCTGTAGCGCTGGAAGATGAACTCCACAAAGTAGTTCTCAGGAGGGAGCGCATGGAAGCAGCCACCGTCCAGCGCATGGAAGGCCATGGCCACCAGCACCCGGCCTGATGGGTCTGATGTCACATGGCTGGAGATCCGTGCACTGTTCCCAAGGATCTGGTCCACTCCAGCACAAAGCTGAGATGCAGAGGAAAACAGATATTCAGACACTATTAAATCTGTTGTGCAAACAGACATTAGAAAGCCAACAAATCTACAACAACCCAGTGATTCCAGCCATGAAAGCCTTTGACAATACAATACATTCGACAATACATTTTGCTATAGTTTTTCAATTGATTTTCAACTGATTTAAGGACCGCACAATTAAACACGAAATAACACTTTCGGACCAGGAACAGAATTGTAGTTCCATATTGCCTGATATGGCAATGTAGATCCAGCCTATGAAATCCTGGGAGTTGTAGTTTGATGAGGCACCAGCACTCCTTGGCAGAGGAAGCCTGTAAAACTACAAACCCCGGGAACCCAAAACATTGTGCTGGGCTTTAGCACAGCTGGTAAAACACCATCAGCAGGAATACGATCTACCAACTGAAAAGTTGCCAGTTCGAAGTTTGGGTCAGGGTGAGCACCCGACTGTCAGCCCAGCTCACTGTTTACCTAAGCAGTTCAAAAACAGCTTAGAGCTGTAAGTAGAGAAATTAGGTAGCACTAAAAAGCGGGGGAAGTATTTTACGACTCCATAAAAGACCACAAAATGCCTGCGACCGCAAAAAAGGAGGAAGTCCTGATGGCTCTTTGTCATAGAGGATGGAGTGACACCACACCCCTGTGTTCCTCCTTTCTGTCTGTTCGGTCCTGTCTGTCCAAACGGCATTGAATGATTGCCATGTATGTGTACTGTGATCCACCCTGAGTCCCATTGATAAAGTGTTGTTGTTGTTGCATTGGGGAGATAGGGCAGAATATAAAGAAAGTTTTGTTGTTGTTGTTGTACTTACTTACTTAGGCAAACTCTCATTGGCCGAGTAGGATAGTCTTCCAAGATCAGTATTTTAGTGGGTCCGTAGGTGTTTGAAAACATGCAAATGTGAATAGATCAATAGGTACCGCTCTGGCGGGAAGGTAACGGTGCTCCATGCAGTCATGCCGGCCACATGACCTTGGAGGTGTCTACGGACAACGCTGGTTCTTCGGCTTAGAAATGGAGATGAGCACCACACCCCGGAGTCAGACATGACTGGACTTAATGTCAGGGGACTACCTTTACCTTTAGGTGACTGTAGAGCATTATTCTTGATCTGCATCTTCTCCCACAATGAGGACATTGGTTTCCAGGTGGAAGGCGGTCTCGGTCGGAGTTGGCTTGATGCGCGTTGGCACGTTTCTCTCTTTCGCCCTCCATTTGTGCCTCTTCAAATTCTGCAGCACTGCTGGTCACAGCTGACCTCCAGCTGGAGCGCTCAAGAGCCAGGGCTTCCCAGTTCTCAGTGTCTATGCCAGAGTTTTAAAGGTTGGCTTTGAGCCCATCTTTCAATCTCTTTTCCTGCCCGCCAACATTCTGTTTCCTGTTCTTGAGTTCGGAGTAGAGCAACTGCTTTGGGAGACGGTGGTCGGGCATCCGTACAACATGGCCAGTCCTGCTGAGTTGATGGTGGAGGACCATCGCTTCAGTACTGGTGGTCTGTGCTTCTTCCAGCATGCTGATGTTTGTCTGCTTGTCTTCCCAAGAGATTTGCAGGATTTTCCAGAGGCAACGCTGATGGAATCATTCCAGGAGTTGCATGTGACGTTTCACAGGCATACAGCAGGGTTGGGAGGACAATAGCTTTGTAAACAAGTCCCTTGGTCTCCCTACGGATGTCCCGGTCCTCAAACACTCTCTGCTTCATTAAAAAAAAAAGCTGCACTCACAGAGCTCAGGCGGTGTTGTATTTCAGTGTGAATGTTGACTTTTGTGGAGAGGTGGCTGCCAAGGGAGCGGAAATGGTCCACATTTTCTAATGTTACACCATTAAGCTGTATCTCTGGCATTGGGGAGGGGTTGGCTGGGGACCGCTGGAACAGCACTTTGGTTTTCTCAATGTTCAATGACAGGCCGAGCTTCTTGTATGCTTCTGCGAAGGTGCTTAGAGTGGCATGTAGATCTTCTGAATGTGCATAGATGACATTGTCATCAGCATATTGGAATTCTATAACAGATGTTGTAACCTTGGTTTTGGCTTTCAGTCTGCTGAGGTTGAACAGCTTGCCATCTGTCCGAGAGATGATTTCCACTCCGGTGGGAAGCTTCCCATCAACAAGGTGAAGTATCATAGCGATGAAGATGGAGAATAGAGTTGGGGCAATAACACATCCCTGTTTGACGCCTGATTCCACCTTAAATGGGTTGCTGTGGGAGCCATTGCTGTCCAAGACTGTTGCCATCATGTCATCATGGAGGAGGAGGTTGTATGATGATGATGATGATGATGATTGCATTGTGCCATGCCAGTTAATGAGGCCAAACTGGATTCATTCTACAATGTAGATGCAGCAGGAAAGTTGTTTTTCCCATATTTAAAGAGTGAAAAATATCATTTAGTAAAATAGCATTACCCTATCTTACTAGAAAGGGTCATGCTATTTCCAAAAACCTTGTTCATTTCCAGGGAGTTCGGAAATTGGGGGAAGTTGGGTATGTGTAAGGGTGTTGGACGGAAATATGGCGTCACAATGCTGCAATGAAAGCATCAATGACACAGGGTGGAATTTCCCCTTTTTTGTGCAATGCTTTCTAACATACCAATGACAGCTCATTTGTGGTCTATCGGGGAAAGCACATGATTCGGCTTGTGGGAAAGCATCCTTCCTCTGAGCCACACTCACGATGGTTTCCCATCCAAATCCTCACCATGGCTGACCCTGCTTAGCTTACATCTTTAAGACTTGTCACTTTCCATATAAGACATACTTTCTTGCAGCAATGCTAATATTGCAATTATGGGGTCATGTGGAATGCTGGGATTTGTAGTTTGTGGTAATAGAGAGAGTCAGGATTTTCACCCAGGGATCTTTTATGGCTTCAGCAAACAGGAAATCCCAAGATTTTAAGGGATGCAAGCATTGCAGTATTACTGTGTTATAAATACATAGTGTGGAAGGGCCAGTTGGAAAAACATATCTCCCAGCCTTCTCTATGCAAAACAAGCCATCTAAGAAAAAAAAATCACTATCTCTATGAAAATACCCTCATTGATTGACTTTGCAATCTTCAGGGCTCTTCAATGCTATTCAAGCTTGCAAATTGCAACATTCACACTTGCTTGAAACATGCAAGGGTTCCATATTATTCCATATATACTCCACTTGCTTCACTACTTCTATACAGATACCGTCACGGACTGACTTTGCACTCTTCAGGGCAATGCTATTCAAGCTTGCTAATTGCAACATTTGTACTTGCTTGAAACAGACAAGAGTTCTTTCTCCCTCCTG